CATTCTTATGAGTATTCCTTTATATTCTGCGGAGTCTTACAAACACAGCTAAAATAGACTTTGGTGATGCAAATTGCAATGTTTGTGTTCCGTGCTCAATTGCATATTTAACTATTTCTGATCACCAAGATATTAGTTATCCTGCAAATAGGATCTATTATTCTTTTTGCTACGGTCGAATGCGAGTGTCAATTCATCATATACAATGTCTTTTATGATACATACATATATATGATTAGGGTCCATGTTTTGCAAAAAAGAAAGTGACGAGGTGTGAAGATACCGATTGCTATATTTACTTTCTATGTCAATGATGGACACCCCTTGTTAAAAATAATTGTGCTATTTCCACCGCCTTTTTTCACTATCTCCAACTTATCCATGTTGCATAATTTCAGGATGTTATAATATACACGGCAGACGACAGAAATATTCATTCGGTTAGCGAGGTACAATTTGTTATGTTTCCTCCCATTTTAGAACTTAATGCCGTATATTTTAGATGAGCGTACTATATAATGTTTAAAGAATGCTTGCAACCCCCGATAGGGTTCTAAAAGGCCCGTGGACCTGTTGCCAGAAAGAAAATGCCCGATTGTGACTTGGAATTTCGTAGTATTGTCAAGCAATTTACTAATACTACTGATATTCATGTCGAATCTGGTTGTAGTTTCGGTTGAAAATGGTTGCTGGAAGAATGAACACTTGATACGTTGTTTAATAAACAGTTTGTTTTATGTTTTAATTCGTTAACACAAAAGGACATTTATTTTCGGCAGATCCTTCAAGGAGAAAGAAGTACCCTTACGTTGTGGTTCACCCGTAATTCATCACACGACGAGGATGCGAAACTTCTAACATCTCTCTCCAATTATTCCCTTAAAACCCCTATACACTCGATGGAATCTTTCTTTCCCGTGCTGGCATCAAATAACATGTACTGGTTTCCTCCCGAAGAAGCCTCGAGATTCGAGTCGGGGTTCGATATATGCTCTGCAAGATTACATGTTCTTGGATTCAATATTTTACCCTCCGGTGAAGAATTTTATTTATCTACGCAACAAAATTCATCCAACTTTTTGAAATTACTGGAGGAGCCGTTATATTTGGCGCGTGGAGATGAGTTGCTCGAACGGGAATTTGTCAACGTACTGCATGCACTGCAGGTGGTGCAGTTTTACCATTGGAAGACAGATGAAGTAAAGAAAGCATCTATTGACGTAGTACCTTTGTCTGAATTGCAGCGAAGGAAAATGAATTGCGTGAAAGTTTTGCTTGTGAAGGATCTTCGACTCGCTGAGTCAATTTTTGGAGATATAAGTGGCAAGTGCTCGAAAATGTCGTTTGACGAGTTTAGATTTTCTGATGTAGTTTCTGAGTGGGAAGCGTATAGTTTTAGGTTGCTAGAAGAAATGGTGATAAGCTTACCATATTGGAGAACACATCAATCTATTTTCTCTGTAAACAATCTTGTCTGAAAATATGCTTTTAGTTTTCTAAGTTTCGTACAGCCGCTCATTGCTTTCAACTGAAAAGTTAATCATCTTTCTAATTTTAAGAATACTATTCCAGATATTTTCTTTTTATTCTTATTTTTTAAATAAAATTATAGTATTTAATACATTAACTAATAACCTATGTTGCACAGACATCGAAATGGCGATAGAGGGAACCAGGAAACAGACATGGAGATACGAGAACTTGAAAAACATATAAATATTGAAAGTATGGTGGTGTAGTTATAAATATGTTATATAAACATATATAAATTTTTATTTATATATATTTTTGCACAAATATATTCAAAATAAATATTATTATCAACTATTAATTTGCAATTAATCATGAAATCATGTAAATATTTGGAGAAGTAAAATAAATATTTGAAAATTTGTTATTCAAACATGTTTCTAACTTTTTAAAAATTACAAAATAGCACATAAAGTGTCCGTCAGGTGTCACGAGTGTCGGAAACGCGGATATATTAACAAGTTGAAGTTTAACTCATAACCAATTATGTAATCAAATACTAAAAGTGATTGTTATTATAATTCTTATAATAATATTATTATTATTGGATGGAATAGTTAAATAAAAAATCAACTCAATTCGCTGGTCGTTAGAAATAGTAGGGGAGAATGCTTGTGGTGGAGTACAACAAAGATGACGGACGGGACGCCTGAAGGTGGTCGATGAGAAGCACATGCTGTCCTCCGTGTGATTAAGTTAGCAAAAGAGAAGAGTTGGACAACGATTGTTATCGAAGGAGACAATCTCCAGGTCTTCAAAGCTCTACGAGACAAAGATTTTACGACATCATCATTCGGAGCCTATGTGGAAGACTGCTTAATTTTAGCATCGGATTTTCAGCATTGTATTTTTGCTTTTGTTAAAAGATCGGGTAATACTCTTGCGGATGGGATTTTGATACATGTTGGTTATGCTTGTAAAGAAGGTTTAATCCTTCTTACGAATTTGGGGAACTTCGCCTAATAATCGAATTTCTCATTCAAAAAAAAAAACACAATTTTTATTAATTAAAAGAAGATTTTGATTACAAATTTTTTTAGGGAAAATAGGGATAACCCCCTCATTATGTAAAATAATATAGTACGGGCCCAATTTATAATTGATCATTTGTAGACAAACTCATTTAATATTTTATGAATTGTGTGATCCCATAAGCTTATGTTAATGTCCATTATGCCTTTTTTTCCCATATTTTCTCCAACTTTCTATCTCTTCTCCTTATTTCTCTCTTATCCGTCATTTTATATTCTCCATTAATTTCTCTCTCACGTGTTCTATTATTCTTCTTTTTCTCTCTCATCTCTCCTATCTTCTCTCTCTTCTCTCTTCTCGCTCATCCCCAATTTCCTCTCTTCTCGATGTTGTTCTTTTATTCTTCTTCTTTTTGTCTCTCCTCTCTCCTATATTCTCTCTTCTCTCTCATCCCCAATTTCCTCTCTTCTCGTATCTTTTTCTTTTATTCCTTTTCTCCCTCTCTCCTCTCTCCTCTCTCTCTCTCTTCTTTCTCTTCCCCCATTTCCTCTCTGTTTCTGTTTCAATTTTTTTTATTTTTCTCTAATTCTTCTCGCTACTTTACCTTTTCTTCTATATATCATTTTTTTGTCCTTGAAATCAATCTATTTTCTACTCTACGAAATTCATGTTTTCATCGAAAATGAGATTTTTATCATGAGTGTTCAATTTTATAACACCATAGTATATTAAATTGAAAAATTAATATAGTGAATTAATGGAAAAATTATAGTTGACTACCATTTTTTTTATAGTTGACATTGGAACAATTATAGTTGACTACCTAATTTTTGTAGTTGACTCTGGCAACAATATTGTTAACTACCATTTTTTTATAGTTGACATCGTAAAAAATTATAGTTGACTATCTAATTTTTATAGTTGACTTTGGGAATAATATAGTGAACTACCCGATTTTATAGTTGACTCTGAGTGTAGATGATGACTACCATATTTTATGTTTTCGACAACACTGATCTTTTCCTTATTGTGGACTCTGATAAAACAAATTTCATAGTAAACAAATATTTATGAGTCAACAAATAGTGTAACCATAGATCTATAGATCTAAAAAACAAGCTTGTTTACAAACTCCATTTTTGAGTAATCAACTATGGAAGAATTCTGAACCGTCACATATGGTTGTCGCGCACCGTTGCATACCGTTCATGTAGGAGACTTCAATTTGTCCTTCTGAGTCGCTGAAAAGGGTGTCAAAAACAGAAATTATGTGATAAATGTACATAAATTAGTTTAATAGACGCCGAGGGGAGCGATGAGTGTATAGGAAACTACCTATCTTCTTCTTGCTACCTTTCACCATTGTTGTTGACCTGTATTTCTCAACGATTTTTTTTTTTTGAAGAAATGTAGCAAACTAGGGCATTGTTGCGATTGGGAAATGATCCGATATATTTGCAGATTTTTTTTTTTTTTTGCAATTTTCTTGGCATAAATATAGCACAGTAGCGGAAATTGAGGAGAAATCATTTTGACGAAACGGTTGAAGATATGCAGTTTTGGGGAAAATAGTGGGGGTCATTGCTATTAGAAATTACGGGGGTAGTTCAGTAATTGCTAATTGTGATGGAGTTTGACCCATCTTATATATAAAAGAAAGATATTTTGACCTATAACCCTAATCTATTCTTTTAAATTGTTAAAATTCTAAAAAAATATTATTTAGTCCTGCGGGAATGATTTGGAAGATCCAAAACCAAAAATAGTGGTATTTGCTAGCAACAACATAATGGAGGCAGTCAATCAATATAGACTGATCCGAAATCTGATTCAAATCCAATATAGTACCTATGGGTACATAAGAAATGTATTGAATCGATTCTTTTTAATGAATAGATCCGATCGCAACTTCGAATATGGAATTCAAAGGGATCAAATAGGAAAGGATACTCTGAATCATAGAACTATAATGAAATATATGATCAACCAACATTTATCGAATTTGAAAAAGAGTCAGAAGAAATGGTTTGATCCTCTTATCTTGATTTCTCGAACCGAGAGATCCATAAACCTAAACCTAGGGACATTTTGGTAGTTTGTTTTTGAAATTATTCTCAATAAATAAAAATAAAAAATATAACCGTCCACTTTGTAAAAAAATGAGTTGAATACACGACCAAAGTAAAAAAAAAAAATTCCTTCTTTCATGGGCTACGGATACCAATGTAAATGGAATAACCACATGATAAACAAATAAATAAATTGCAACAAAAAACAAATAAATAAATAAACTAAAAGTTAAAAGGTAATTATTTATTTAAACTCTTCTCCAGTAAAAACTAAAATTACGATGTTTCTTAACCTCTATATTTGTGGACCCCATATTTCTAATATTCTCCATATATTTTGAACATACCATGTTATATAAATATATATAATTTTTTTTCTTCTCCTCTTTAACCACCCACTAACTCATCATCACACCATGATCTCAACCCATTATCAATTTCATTGCTCTATTTAAACCCCCGAGAACTCCACAAAAATCACATTTTTTTTTGCCAAACCTCTTCTTTTTGCTCATTTAAAATTTTGTTCTTCTTCCTCACAAATTATTTTCAACGTAGCCAATTGGTTTCTACAGGTAAATAATACAATATTTGTTATTTAGATTTATTTATATCAGATTTTTAAATTTCACGTCACCAATAGTTGCTAACGATTTTGATTTTTTTTTTTGTTTGTACAACTCAGGCATAATTTTCGTGCACAATGACTCCCTGTATGACAGCCATATACCTTCACATAATGTTCATCTCTTTTATTATTTGGTTGACCATGGTATTTTTGGTTTTCATTAAATTTGTGTCATTTATTTTTTTATTTTATAAACTCATTATCTTTTATCACTTCAGGGGTTACCGTTTCTTAACGTTGGAGGTGTTAAGTGTATATTTTTACACTTTATCGTATCTTTTTATTTGAGCTTTTGGTGTGTTTTAACGATAATTGGTGCTTAAAAAGTTGATTTATTGTATTTTAGGTACAAATTAAAGAATTGGAAAAGTATGGGGTCAAAACTGCAATTTTGGAGAAAATATGGGCCAAAATTGAAAAAATCAAAATTCTGAAGATTTAAAGCTCGGACCCCCGTCCGAGTTTTAGTTTAAATTGTGGGACCCCCGTCTGAGAAGCAGAATGCACCACTGGTTTTGGGACGGCCGTCCGAGTTTTAGTGCAAAATTCGGGACGGCCGTCCGAGATGACGAAAAGGCTCCTAATTGCACAAGGAAACTACCTTCTTCTCCAATTTTTTCCACCCTATATAAGACCAAGCCAAGCACACAATTGGTGATCCATCTTTGGACACAAATTCAAGAGCAAAGAAGATCAACGAAGATTCAAGCATAGTTTTTCTTATTTAATTAATTTTATTTATCATAAGAATTACGAGTAGCTAAGTCTTTATTTCTAGGATTTTATTTGGAACCCTATGTGGGATTTATGAACCCAATTCTATGATTTTATGCAAATTTTAATTCCGGATTATTTCTTCTACTTGTTTTATTAAGTTCATGAAACTGGCCACTTTATGCGCTTTTATGTTATTGTTAATCGCATGAATCGGAAGATCGGGTTAATAATTAGAATTGTGGTAGAAGAGCCTTTGTGGTATTAACATAGGAATATAGTTAATCTCCTAGGTAGCCATTATTGAGATTTGTGCTTAATGCTATGTTCTAGAATTAATTGCGTAGGAATACAGTAATTGAATCTAGGGTATTAGAATTGTAATACACGCGGAAGCGGGTTATGATTATTTTAGCATCTCAGGTTAATAATCCGGGTTAATTGCTTGCATAATTGAAGGAATTGGGAGAATAATAATCACATAGGGAGAAGAATAAAATCCTAGGCTTGTTTTCATTGATTAAATCTTCGTTTTTGCTTTCTTGTTTTTGTCTTTTTAATTGCT